GTTATACATGGAGTTAAGGAGTTTTTATGGGTTCAGAAAATCAAAAGATAACAAAAGCTCATACAGCAAATTTACCAAACAAAATGCAAGCTCTAGTTGCTTATTCCCCAGGAGATTACAGATTAGAAGAGGTAGATACACCGAGAGCAAATGAAGGTGAAATAATAATAAAAGTAGAAGCATGTGGAATATGTGCTGGTGACTTAAAAGCATTCCATGGAGCTCCTAGCTTCTGGGGTGGAGCAGGAACAGAGCCTTATATTAAAGCTCCTATGATACCAGGGCATGAATTCATTGGGTATATTGTTGAAATTGGAGAAAATGTAGATAGTTGGCCTCATCATGGTGACTCTGGATTTGAGGTAGGAGATAGGGTAATTTCTGAGCAAATTGTCCCTAGATGGAATGATTTATTTTCTACTACTGGAAAATACTGGATGGATGAGCAACATGATCTATATGGTTTCCAATACAATGTTAACGGTGGTTTCGCTGAATACATGAAGTTTCCAAAAGAAGGCATAAATTATAAGCTACCTAAAGATATTCCAGTAGATAAAGCTGTTTTGACTGAACCCTATGCTTGTTCCAAACATGGAGTTGATCGGGCACAAATATCTAACGAGGATATTGTAGTCATCTCAGGAGCTGGTGTTATCGGATTGGGTATGGTAGGGTTTGCTTCAAGGCGGAATCCAAAAAGACTGATTGTTCTTGATCTTAATGATCATAGGTTGGAAAAAGCTAAAGAATTTGGTGCAGATGAAGTATTGAATCCATCAAAAATTGATGTTGTAAAATATATAAAAAACCAAACAGGAGGATATGGGGCTGATATTTATATCGAAGTAACAGGGAATCCGAAGAGTGTTCAGCAAGGGTTGGAAATACTGAGAAAGTTGGGGCGTTTTGTTGAATTTAGTGTTTTCAAAGAATTAGTGAATGTAGATTGGAGTATAATCAGCGATAGAAAAGAATTAGATATTCTTGGTGGGCACCTAGGCCCATATTGCTATCCACCAACAATAGAGTGGATAGCTGATGGTAGTCTTCCTACTAATGGTGTTGTGACTCATAAGCTACCTCTATCAGAATGGGAAAAAGGATTTGACTTAGTCTCTTCTGGTGAAAATTCTATCAAGGTAATTCTTTTTCCAAATGAGGAATATATGATTTAAATTAGGCACGGTTTTTATATATTTATATAGATATAGACAATGAAAAAAACAAGGAGGAGTGTATGAAACGGTTACTATATATATTAGTTTTATCTACTATTTTTGCAACTTTTGTTTTTGCTGGTGGTAAAAATGAGGTTGTTGAGGATGTAACAAAAATTACTGGTGAATTTGATTGGGAACGGTATGAAGGTGAAACTATCAAACTGTTGCTAAATCAGCATCCTTATACAGATGGTATGCTTGACGAATTAAATAGTTTTGCAGATCTGACCGGTATAAAAGTGGAATATGACATTTTCCCTGAAGAAGAATATTTTAACAAGGTTACTGTCGCACTTTCGTCAGGCTCAACCGAATATGATGCTTTTATGACAGGAGCATATATGGTTTGGCAGTATATGCCGCCAGGTTGGATGGAAGATTTAACACCCTTTATTGAGAATTCATCTCTTACAAGTCCGGACTATGATTTTGATGATATTATTGACGGAATTGCAGCAGGGTTACGTTGGGATGGAGTAGAAGGTAGTGTAGCAGGTTCTGGAGGTCAGTGGGCGCTTCCTTGGGGATTTGAGGGTAATACTCTAATGTATAATAAGAGGATATTTCAAGAATTAGGACTTGAAGTACCAAAGACACTAGATGATGTTATTCGTATTGGCAAAATAATTAAAGAAAAAACTGATATGATACCTATCGCAGTAAGAGGAACAAGAAGTTGGGCCACTATTCATCCTGGATTTATGACTGCATATACATCTGCTGGTGGAAAAGATTATGACTCGAATATGAATCCAATGATGAATAATGACATTGCAGTTCGTTTTACTGACAAATGGATTGAAATGGTTAAAGAAGTTGGACCACCAGAATGGACAAGTTATACATGGTACGATGTAGGACAATCATTAGGACAAGAGCGTGCTGCAATGATTTACGATGCAGATATATTAGGATTTTTTCAGAATATAGAAGGTGCTAGCCCAGCTGCAGGTGATATAGCTTGGGCTGCAAACCCTCCAGGTCTTGATGGACCAGCTACAACCCCAAATATGTGGACTTGGGCGATAGCCATGAATTCCCGCTCAAAGAAAAAAGGAGCTGCATGGTATTGGTTACAGTGGGCGACTAGCAAAGAGTTCTTAACTGCTGCTGCCGTAAAGCATGCAACTGTTAATCCCATTCGTACGTCTGTTTGGGAAGACCCTATGTTTAAAAAACGTCTTGAAAAATTTGATGGGTATTATGAGCAATATCAAAATTTGATTGCTGGTACAGGAATACATTTCACTCATCAATCACGTTTTTTTGAAACTACAACAGAATGGGCATCTGCACTTCATGATATTTACTCTGGGGGAGATGCAAAAGTTGTGCTTGATGACTTAGCTAAACGTCTTTCAGAGAATCAATAATGATTGAAATACAACCTTAGAATAAGGTAGAGAGTTGTAGTTAGTGTCATTATTAGTTGGCCTGACTGCAATTCTCATTTATTTATATTCTGGTTTCAATATAATGGGTTTAAAAATAAGATTTAGTAAAGAAATAGGAAAAGATGGATAAGCTACATTTAACGAGGTTAGAGAAACTAAAACCTTATCTGATAATTCTTCCAGCTATGTTATTGACAATAGGGATATTAATTCCTTTTGGAATGGGTGTCTTTTGGTCATTTACTAATTATAATTTGATGCGACCAAACTTCGAATTCATAGGAATAAAAAATTATGTTCAAATGATGCAAAGTGAACAATTCTGGAATGCGTTAAGAGTTTCTGGTACCTATGTTTTTTTTGCAGTTGGTATTGAATTACTTTTGGGGCTTGCAATTGGATTACTTCTAAACCGAGAAAATAAAATTACTGCTATTTTCAGACCTTTATTGATATTGCCTTTATTAATAGCACCAGTTATTGCTGTTTTAATGTGGCGTCTAATGATGAGTACTCAGTTTGGTGTTCTTAATTTTCTCTTAAGTAAAATAAATCCAGAATTGAAGAATTTTCCTTGGGCAGGTGTACAAGATTATGCTATGTTCACTGTAGTCCTTATTGATGTCTGGATATTTACTCCTTTTGTTGCTTTATTGGTATTAGCAGGTTTACGTTCTCTACCTAGAGCTCCTTTTGAAGCTGCTCAAGTAGATGGCGCCTCTAAATTTTATACATTTCGAAAACAGACAATGCCTATGCTAATGCCTTACATTACAATTGCTCTTATTTTCAGATTAATTGATAGCTTTAGGATATTTGATATTCCTTTTGCCTTAACAAAAGGTGGACCAGGAAATTCCTTAATGTCTTTACAAGTAACAGCTTACACACAATCGTTTACATATTTAAATATTGGTCAAGGCGCAGCATTTATGTTTTTAACATGGATTATAATTTACTTAATAAGTAAATTTCTAGTTAATCACTGGATGAAATGGCGTGCAAAACTAACTTAAAGGCTATAAGAACAATGTCAAAAATCAAAACTCAGAGAGATAAAATATTAGATATTTTTTTAAATTCTGTATTAACAATTTTTTTTATAGGTATGCTATTTCCTGTCCTATGGGTAATATCTCTTGCTTTTAAGACAATGCCAGACATACTCTCATGGCCACCAACATTTTTTTCAATACCAACTTTAGAGAATTTTAAAAGCCTATTTAGTGGACTCACAGGAGGATCGACAGGAAGTTCTACAGTTTATTTTCTTAGAAACTTTATGAATAGTATGATTATTAGTTTTGGTTCTGTCGTACTATCGATAATAGTAGGTATCCCAGCAACTTATGCGATAGCCAGATATAAATTTAAAGGAAAAGAAGATTTAGCTTTTACTATTCTCTCATTTCGTTTCGCACCAGAGTTAATGGTTATTATTCCGATCTACATTTTCTTCCAGAAACTTGGTTTGCTTGATACTTTTACAGGATTGATTTGGGTATATCAATTAATCACTTTGCCCATGATAATTTGGATTCTTCGTGGGTATATAGAAGATTTATCTCAAGAATTGGAAGAGGCTTGCTGGTTAGATGGTTATACTCGGTTTAGAACATTCTGGAGAATTGTGTTGCCTCTAATACGTCCTGGAATTGCTGCTTCTGGTCTCCTAGCTTTCATCTATGCATGGAATAACTTTGTTTTTGCTATATTACTTGGAGGTAGCAGAACCGCACCTGTTACTGTTGGTGCTATGCAATTTATTTCTGCAGATGCTTTGAGGTATGGAGATATGGCAGCGGCAATAGTTCTAGCGGCTGTTCCAGCTTTAATACTTGCTTTATATGCACAAAAACACCTAATTAGGGGACTTAGTCTTGGAGCTGTAAAAAAATGATGAGGAAAAATTAGTATGGGAGCTATTAGGTTTGAAAATGTAGTGAAAATGTATGGGAAAGATGTTGGAGTAGACAAATTAAATATTGAGATAAAAGAAGAAGAATTTTTTGTACTTGTAGGTCCATCTGGAGCAGGGAAGACAACAACCCTAAAAATGGTTGCTGGTATAATCAAACCTACAGAAGGAAAATTATTTATCGATGGAGTCTTATCAAACCTCATTCCCCCACATGAAAGAAATGTATCCATGACTTTTGAGAGTTATGCACTTTATCCACATTTTTCTGTTTACAATAACATAGCAAATCCATTGAGAAGGCAAAAGAGAAATAATCTTGAGGCTGATATTGAAAGAGAAGTCCATAGAATAGCTGCTATGCTTGAAATAGAACATATACTGGATCAGAAACCTGGTGAATTGAGTGGCGGTCAAAAACAGAGGGTTTCACTAGGAAGAGCATTGGTAAGACAACCAGCTGTTTTTCTTTTAGACGAACCACTATCGCATGTTGATGCTAAAGTTCGACATAAAATGAGAGTTGAACTAAACCGTATACAAAGAGAATTAAAAACTACAACAATATATGTAACACATGATTATATTGAAGGACTTTCCCTTGGAGATAGAATTGGTGTTATAAATAATGGGAAGATTGAACAGGTTGGTACTCCTGAAGAAATATATCATAAACCTTTTAATGAATTTGTTGCTAAACATGTAGGATCTCCAGAAATAAACTTATTCGATATTTCTATAAAAAATAAAAACGGAGAAAGCATGCTGGTTTCTGAAAGATTAAAAAATATCTCTATAAAAATTTCAAGAGAACAGGAAAATTTAATACGAGAAAAGAGTAATGATGGTAAAACGATTGTAGGCATCAGACCACAAGCATTTAAAATTGAAAAAGAAAATCATGGAACAATCAGGGGAATTGTTTATGCCTTTCATCCATTTGTTACTTATGGAGTATTAGTTGTTGATATTGAAGGAACCCATATTAGGGTACTTACTGATCCAAATGAAAAGGTTAGTATAAATCAGAAAATTTCGTTAAGTGTTAATACAGATAGTTTCTATTTTTTTCACAATACAAATTCTATAAATTTAGTTTATCTTTAGGAAAGGATTAAAATGGCATCAGTAAAACTAAAACAGGTTAATAAATTATACAAAAGTGGAAAAAAAGAAATCCATGCAGTACGCAACCTAAACTTACATGTACGAGATGGTGAATTTATGTGTCTACTTGGTCCCTCAGGATGTGGAAAAACATCTTCAATGAGGATGATTGTGGGTCTTGAAACTATAACATCTGGAGAAATATACATAGGAGACAGGTTAGTTAATAGTCTTACACCGCAAAACCGAAATGTTGCAATGTCTTTTGAAACATATGCTCTTTACACACACTTGTCTGTAAAAGAAAATATTTTATTCCCACTCAGAGCAAAAAAAACTACAGAAAAAGAAATGAACAAGAGATTAAATAAAGTTGTAAACATGATGGAAATTGAAGATTTATTAGATAGAGGACCAAGTCAATTAAGCGGTGGTCAACAACAAAGAATTTCGCTAGCAAGAGCCTTGATTCGTGAACCGGATGTTTTTCTTTTAGATGAACCACTTTCTCATTTAGATGTAAAATTACGTACATATACACGAACCCAAATAAAGCATCTCCATGAAGAACTAACAACTACATTTATTTATGTAACACATGATCAATTAGAAGCAATTTCATTAGCTGACCGTATTGCTGTCATGAATTTTGCGGAATTACAACAAATAGGTACACGAACAGAACTTTTAGATTATCCTAAAAATAAATTTGTTGCTGATTTCATAGGAGAACCTGCAATAAATTTTTTTGATTGTAACTTGGTGAGGGATAATGGATTATTAATTTTAAAATCAAAGAAAGATAAACTAGTAGTACCCATTCCAAAAGAATGGCAAAAACGAGTAGAAGCATCTGGCAAAGATCAGTACACCTTGGGTATTCGTCCTCACGATCTCTATTTATCGGGAAACAAAGAAGCAACAAAATTAACAGGTGTTGTTGATGTTTTTGAATTTCTTGGAGAAGAAAACCATGTTACTGCTAGAATTGGAGGTAGTGTTTTGACAGTTGTCATTAACCCATTTCAATTCTTTCAGGTTGGAGAAGCAGTAAATTTCTACCTACCGAACAATAGCATTCACATTTTTGATAATGAAACTCAACAATGTATTAGTACAGCCTTTAAAATAGAAGACTTTAATGCTAATGAAAAAAACTAACAGGTCTATCTATAATTCTAAAAAAGTTATTTTCAAATTGAAATCAAATTTCTAGAATTATATACTAAAAAAGAGAAATATTTACCCTGAAACATAAAAATTAAAGTGTATGACAAATAAAGGATACAAGGATTATGTTTTTTAAAATAAATTTCAGAATAGATCCTCAGTTCTTCTAGTAGCTATGATTTGTATACTTAATGGAGATGCCATTCTGAAATTTCGATATTGGTTTTGAGTCTGACTTCAACTTTCTCATTTTTTTCATATTGACATTTTTATGTTCCATTCAACTTGTTAAATATAGTGTTGTTAAATTTTGAATGTTAATTGTAACTTGATCACCAAAAGGATATTTCCAACCCATTTTTCATGTATCATTCCCATTAGATAAGAATCCTTTAAACTTTGATTAAAATATTAGCTTGAACATTTTTTTAGGCTTAATTACATTACAAGATGGTTAGTTTATAACTCTAGCTCGTAAAATGGAATAAATCCCTAATTTATTCTATCAATTCTACA